GATCGTCACGTCAAACTCGACAATTGTGAGCGACTCGACGATTGTTTTCGTCACGATCGTCGATCGTGTTCGACTCGACGAGTCAGAGTCTTGACGATCCTGTTCGACACAACGATTGTTTCCGGCACGACGATCGTCTTCGACAAAACGGTCGCGTTGGACACGACGAATGTGTCAGACTCGACGATCGTATTCGACACGACGATCGCGCTTGGTGACATTCGATCATGTTCGACACGACGATCGCACTCGACACGACAGATGTGTTCGTCTTGACGGTCATCTTCGACACGACGATCGTGCTCAACACTGCGGTGACGACCTTGTTTGACTCGACGGTGACCTTGTTCGACATGACCGTCGCCGTTTCGAACACGATCGTCGTGTCGATGATGACTGTCGAGACGAACACATCCATCGTGTCGAACACGACCATCGTGTCGGAGATGATCGTCATGTCGAACAAGATCGTCGAGTCCTCAACGACATTCGTGCCGAACACGATCGTCGAGTCGGACTCGACAATCGTGCTCGACTAGACGATAGTGTTCGTTCGACTCGACGATTGCCTTAACTTGACGATCGTGTTCGACTCTACGATCGTGTTCGGCACAATGACGGTGTCCGGCTCAGCGACACGGCACTGCGGCCGGTATTCGGCACGACAATTCGCTCGGTCGTCGAGTTTGATTCGACGATAGACCCGATCACCGTGTTCGAAACGACGACTGCTCCGGTCCGTTGTTGTGTTCGACTCGACAGTGCTCCTCCGTCGTCGTGTTCGACACGACCGCTGTCAATCGAAAGTGCCACGTGGCATTACGTGGTTGCGTCTAAGCTTGCTGGTTGTGTCCTCACCGTCTGATCCTGTGGACTCGGGGTGCTCCGCTATGGCTGCGCGTCGCGTCCTGGGGTCGTCTGCTCGCCTCCGTCGTCGCGACCTCCGACCGTCGGCACCTTCGCTGTGGTCCGTCGTCGCATCGTGGAGGTAGTCTACTATGCATGAACCTCCGCTGCACTGAGCTGTTGCTGCGTCAACGAATCCCCGCTGCGCTCCGTCGTCGCGTCGTGCAGGTAGTCTGCTGTGCACGAACCTCCGCTGCGCTGCGCTATTGCTACATTGTCCACCTGAAACCGAAAATGGGAAGTGGTGGGACCCCTCCATATATATAGTTTTTCAGGTGGGCCCCTCRGACGCTCGTGGTGGCTGTCGGATCTGGGAATGCGGACGATCGGGATGATCAATTGGCTGCAGGCGGGGATCCGGTGGTGCCGCCAGTGCAACACCCTGTTTTTCCCCCAGTGCATCTTGGTTGTCGAATCGTYGGGTGGCCGACGACCAGGATCGTTTTTYCCCCCTGGAACGGGCCAAGGGCAAAGCGGAGGTGAGGGGATGACGTTTCGCACCWGAGTGCATCCCTCTATGACACAAGAGCGTTTCACGCACATGAGTAGCCGCGACATTTTGTCAGCACTCCGTTGTTCACATGCTGGGAAAAGCAGTGTTGCAGTCGGTCAGCATTAACACAACAACTCGACCGCTCTCCAGGTTAATGCCGCTTCCACGACCGCCCGAGCCCGCCCCCTTCCCCCCCCCCCAAAAAAAAAAACAAAAAACAAAAAAAAACACTGCCTCTGTGGCTTGCCCTATCGTGTGTTAGTTTCTTCAAGTTGATTACATCAACAAATTTCCTTCGACATTTCGTTATGGCATTTACTTGCATAGGTCGTCGTGTCGAACACGATCGTCGTCGTGTCGAACATGATTGTCATCGTGTCGAACACGACCGCCGTTGTGCCGAACACGATCGTCGTCGTATCGAAGACGACCGCCGTTGTGCCGAACACGACGATCGTCTTCGTGTCGAACATGATCGTCATCGTGTCGAACACAACCGTCATCATGTCGAACACGAGTATCATCGTGTCGAACACGAGTATCATCGTGTCGAACACGATCGTTATCGTGTCGAACACGATCGTCAAGGTGTCGAACACGATCGTCATGGTGTCAAACATGATCGCCATCAYGTTCGACAATACAACGGACGCTGCAGGTTCCAAGGAAGAAACAACCGTCGTCAATGACGTGGTCCCCGAGTCGGGTCAAACAGGGCACATCGTCCGTGTTCGACACGACGGAACCGACATGTCCGACATGACGGAACCGCGGAAGACAGCACCGTCGTTGTGTTCGACACGACAACAGCGCTGCAGGTCACAGGTTCCAGAAAAGAAACAACCGTCTTCGTGTTCGATACGACAACGGACGCTGCGGGCTAACTACTGTTGACACATAGCACAGCGAGTGTCGTGTTCGACACGACAACGCTCRCTGCAAACCGTTTACTGTCGTGTTCGACACTACGAGATCGCGGAAGAAACAACCGACGCAATGGTGGAAGAAACGAGCGTCGACTTGTTCGATACTGCCACGGTCGATACAGGTTCCACGTTCCACGACGGAAACAACCGTTGAGCACGATCGTCTTCTGCATTTCCGTATCGTCGTCGTGTTGAACCCGATGAGGGGTCCCGATCAGGCAGTCCCCAAGTCGTGTGGAACACGACTCAAAGCACACCCTCCGTGTTTGACACGACGACACCGCAGGAAAAAATGACTGTCGTCGTGTTCGACACGACAGCGGTCGATGTGGTGGCCACTCTCCCAGACAACCCTTGTCTTTCGTGTCAAAGTCGTCCCGTCGGCACGCGTCGGGTCGGACCACCACCTTGGGGCGCACTCCTGCTCATGGGCGATCTACCACAGTCACTCTCGTTTGAGAGAAGTGCTCCGACTTGCATGCGTGGCAAGAAGTCCAGTGCGCGTTGCACCCGCAGAGCATAGTGCCCGAATAACTGTCTTTTATCTTTTATTACATTGATTGCAAATTGGAAGATTGTCATAATATGAAATAGAGTCCCTTTGGTGTTGGACACGACGATTACGTTGCTGCGGTCCTTTGCCTGCCCGGTTTGGGGTTCCAGGAACTCGTCATGTGTCGTCGCTAGAGATCCTCGACCGACATCTTGTTCAAACTCTGCACAAGTTTTGCTTTGGATCTGCAGAGTCTAGTCCCCGGAATTCAAGAGCGGAGTCCCTTCCGTGTTGGACAAGACGGTCGCGTTGCCACGGTCGTTTGCCTGCTCACTCAGGGTTTTGGGAGCTCCTCGTGTGCTGTCGCTAAAGTTCCTCGAACAACATCGGTTTTGTGTTCTACAAACATGTGTCATTCTGAATGTTTCCTCTGAATGCTTTCATGTCAGGCTGTGTTTTGCGCGTCAGGATCTYTGCCTTTCCRATACTGGTACCCGCTGTGTTTTGCGCGTCATGGTCTCTGCCTTTCCGATACTGGTGCGCAACGTGACATGTGCTACGTTTCCGACTCTCGTTTGATCTCTGACTTCGCCACACTCTTTTGYGTGTCTTGCACCTTTGCCACTAATTGCCCCACTGACTGGACTGACGAGTCCTCACCCGTCATTAATTCTATATGCTTTGAACCCRATCTTTGTGCCCTTGTAATGTTTCMTCTCGATGCTCACATTCCAAGGTGGCGTGCTCTACCCTTTCGAATGTTTCCTGTTCCTCTCCGTACCCKTGTAGGGCTGTGTTTTTTGCTGTCGTTTATAGGGCTGTGTTTCTCACTGTCGTTTATAGGGCTGGTTGTCTGTTCCCTTTCATTAATCTCTGATTTTCGTCACACTCAGTTGCATGTCTTGCGCCTTTGACAGTGGTCCACTGTATTGTTGTCGCAGACACATTTCGTACATGGCTTGTGGTGTGCATGCTATGCCACGGCAGGCTTGCAGCACAACCTTGGAAAGCATGGACTGTATTGCATCTAATACAATGCTCAATGAAGATGTTCCTCCACCGGACCTTCCAATGTGTTCACAAGATGTTCGAAGTGGTCAGGAACGTGTCAACAATACTCCGGAATCTCCTGGTCATAAGAGGTCACGGATTATTGCGTGTGCAGACACTACATGTGAAAGAGCGTATCCGGCCTTGCGCTGCCTGGTTCAAACCTCTGATGCAGACAGTGCGGAAGGTCAGGAGGGTAAGGCCTCCTCTGTTGACAACAACACATCCGATGTAGACCGTGTTGTATGGGTGCCGAGGAATTCACTTCGAGATTTCGAGTACACAGGTCTTCTGTTTGGTGAGAGTGATGAAGATGGTTCAGATTCAAGTGCTTCTGTGTCGTCTAGCGTTGATAGTTCTCTTGATAAAATCGGTCATCCGCAAACGTACGCTAACCGCAACACTGATGACGATGAGAATTGTGTTGTCATCTCAAATTTCGATGACATTTTCCTGAAACGTCTGTCCTCAGAGAAGCGTCCTTATAGTTTTCGTGTCAGAATGTCATGGTCAAAGAAGATTCTACAATCAGTTCAAAGAAAACTCGTCAAAAAAACACTGGCGAGTGTGTGTGAAAAAGTTTGTTGTAAGCGAGTGTGTTGCGCTCAAATCACCCTGAAAGACATCAAAGCTGTCTAGAGCGCATATTACCCTAAGGACCAGAAAAACAGGGATGCATAGTGGGTTGAAACGTTGAAGAGGTTCATTTTCATAGAAGATGAGAAGGAGATTGTTCAAACTATTGTTGGGACAAGAAAGGTGTGCATTAGTGCATGGTGTTTCACACTAGCTGTATGTAGGAATACATTTCTAAAAAAAAGAATGACTTTGTCAAATGACTACATTATGCCGGAGCATGGCAACACTGGACTCAGACGCACATTAACAACATATGCGACGATGAACGAAAAACTAAGCTCCTTCGTGCGAGATAACGGAGATTCCATGCCCAATGATATGAAGATCAAAGAGGAAGAATTGGGAGTGGTGTTGAAATTGTCTGTTCGCTATAACAAGGTTCATATTTATAAGTTGTTAAAGTCGCAATTCGACAACATCTGTGCTCCTTGTGTTTCTCTCCAAATTTTCTACAGCATGTGAAAAACGCAGTTCTGGCATGTGAAATTCAACGACATTGATCAAAACTTTGCAAAATACGAGAAATATGTTGAATACAAAGAATTTATCAATTTTGCAAAGTTCGTACGTGTGCGTGAGTACTTTATTTCAGTACGTGAGAAACACTTGGACTTGCAGCTCCAACATCATGCTGCATATGAGTTGTGGAAGGATGAGTCGAAAAGATCAGGTTTTAACAGTTTATGCATCATTATTGACGGCATAAACCAAAGCAAGATCAGTATTCCACACTTTGGCGGAGAAAACAAATCGAAGACATTCGTAATATTTCGATGTTGAAAACTAATTTTACAACTATTATTGCACACGGTCGTTCACCATCGGTTCATGTTCACACATGGTACCCTTGCTATTCACACGATTCTTATGTTGTCGTGTCATCCAATATGAAAGTTCTGCGAAACATCCAGGCGACAAGCGACTTACCTCCTAAGCTGAGGATACAAGAAGACAACTGTTGGAGAGAAAAGAAAAAATAGATACGTTTTGGCGCTTCCTGCACCTTTGGTAAAATTTAGTTTCTTCAAAGAAGTCGAATTCGGTTTTATATTAGTGAGACACACACATACGGACGTTGATGCCACTTTCAGTCATTTCTCTCGCAAACTAAAAATGCACGATGCTTATACCATGTTCGACCTCTTCAAGCTCGTTACCAGTTCYCAAAAAGAGCGTCTGTCGCACATTCATGGATGAAATTGCTGATTGGCGAGCTGCTKTTAAACCCTTCCTGGTCAAGAGAATGACCGGTCATACTCGTCCRCATGCATTTAGGTTTTACATGTAGGATGACAATCCTCTGTTCCAGTGGAAAGAGCATTTCACTTCTCTTGAATGGTCTTTTTCAGTCTATTGCTTTAAACGAGATGGAAACAAAGCATATGGTGGACCCGAATGACCATTTGAGCCATCACCTATTCCGTTGTCTGCTACTCTGCCTATTAAAGATAGAAATTCAGATTTCGAATCAGGAATTGAAGGTGTGAAGACGTTTGTTGGGTGATTGGAGAACAAACTGCACGGGTGGTTGGGAATGAAAGATGAGGTTAGCTTATCAAAGGAAAGTGTTCTTTCACATTGAAAAACTTTCCTCGAGACAGTCGAGAAAAATTATGAGTCCGACTTTGCAAAAACATAACTCAAGGCTGACTTCTGGCCCTCACAAGACAGAATTACGAAGGATGATGCAGATGATATTTATATTGTCTTCCTCTTGAAAAACAATGAGAATAAGGAGCCGTTGTTCGTTGGACCAGCCAATGAGCGTCCAAAGGCAGAGCTTAACCCAGTTGTAGATGTCGAAAAAGGTTAATTCGTTMTTTTGCATCCTTCCCAAGATGATATCGATGAGGGAGTTCCCGTATGGATGGGTAGAGTCATTTCCGATGTAGACAACGATATGGAGTCGCTAACTTTCAATCATATTTTTATTGAATATTGAGTGTCACAACCTGTTGTCAAACGTCTTTCTGTGCAATATTCAAATGCATGGAAGAAGACGTGGAAGAAAGACAACACAACATCACAGCAGTGGCAGCGTGTAGACTGTGTTGTGTGGAGTTGGACATAAAAAATATTGCGTTTGGAAAATGGAGTGCATATTTCTAAATTGGTCAGAGAGAAGACTTTGGTATGTCTTTCACTTCCCGAGGATGAAGATCGGTAGAACATGTTATTCGTTAAAATAGAACGTTATATTGTGTCCTCTTTCTAACGAATTCATTTTGGTTGCAGTATAAGTAACATAGGTTTGCCCATCCTTTCCTTCGAGATAATTTTTTGGATATTTGATGAGATCCGAACTTATTTAGAAGTGTAATTGTTACACGCGTATCTACTCGCCTCAGATGCGGAAGTGTGTTGAGATTCATACTTGTTTATAATTGTGAYGAGTCAGGTGTCATGATTCTATCATAAGGCATGTTGGATATGTTTCTTCCTACGTAGCACATGTATGTCCATCCTGTCGTCCGAGACAGTTGTTTGGATGTCCGATGAGATCCGAAGTTGTTTAGAAGTGTAATGATAGGCCCTCGTATCCTCTCGCCCAAGATGGGGAAGTGTGCTGAAATCCATACTTGTGTATAATTATGATGAAAATGTGTCATCATTGTGAACTT